TAAATCTGGATGACTGTCTCAAGATCCTAAATTCATTGCATCTGTGGAGAAACAGTTGACAAATAAGGTCTCCTTCTGAGGTGAGAACCTCAGGAATTTGAGAGGCTGGAGGTACTGTTCGGCCTGCTACCCAGAGTTTTGGATGGCCACTAGAGTCATCCTTTCACAGAGAACTTGACGTCTCCAATTTAGAAGCCAAAAGAAGCTTAGACCTCCTAAGCCCTGTTGGCCCAGTAGGTTAAGTTTTGGACTGCCAGCCTAAAGGATGCCAGGTTAAACCCACCACCCACTACATGGAAGAACGGTGGGCAGACTCCTTCTGTTAAGCTTTGCAGCCTCAGCAGCTGATTGGAAGGGCCCGTGCATTGGAACCCATTAGGCAGCAGCGAGTCTGGGTTTAACGTGAGCCTGGGATCAGGTGGAGGTGTGGCTCCAGGGGCTCGGGGACCAGAGTGGTCTGGAAATTGTCAGTGGGATGATAGGAAAAGAGAGTGAGCCATGGCTTGGTAAAAGGTTCTATTTTCTTTAGTCTGCTAAGTCCTATGAATAATAGGTGTGTTGTCAGTTTTCCCAAAGAACTGAGAATGGTTTGTATTGAGAATGATACTGCCGCATTGTTTCCTCTAAGTTAGTGGGGACTTCTTGGAAAGTGCTGGTTTCTGAGCAGGTTTATGCATGGCCTTTAAACATTGAATCCCTTTCTGTTGCTGTTGAGCTTTTCTTATACTTCTGACTTCACTTCCGTAACTGATTATTTGTTAACCACAAGTTTCTCTTCTAGGTAGTCCCCTTTGTTGGCACCATTCCGGAGCCGCTGGAGCCTGGGACTCTGATTGTGATCCGTGGGCACGTTCCTAGTGATTCGGAGAGGTGAGGTCACTGTGTCAGATGCGAGAGAACGTGACAGAGCTTGCTTTCTGTAAATACAAGACAATAAAAATGTGGGAAAGACAATTTTGACAACTTGAGGGCTGATTTTACTTTCCTTAACAGTCCTTGCCAGGGTGCTTACAGATTGGAATGAATGAGTCATAAAGCTTATTTGGAGTCTTAGTCTAATTGCTGTAAGTTCGATTTCTGCCTAAAGAGTGGAATATCTCATTAAGGAAGAGCGTTCCCAGAGGACAGGTCCAGTCTGTACAGCCTGCCCTTCCTGTGGCATCTCTAGAACTGGATGTTTGACTGAAAGTTGGCTTTGTGTCCATGTGGGCTCAGCTCCCTGGGACTGCTGTCAAAGTAATCGCAGTGGTTTAAATAAGATGTAATTGGGTCTTACGAAAATAATGCCTCAGCTAAGTAGCCCAGGGCTTCAAAGGACACATTGTGAGGTCTTTGTAGAGGTCTGCTCTCCCTTACATACGCCCCTCATTGTAGTAATCTTTGGAAGCTGGAACAGAAGCTCCTCCCAGCTCTGTCTTGGGTAGCTGGATACGTGTGCATTGTGTATGTGTGAGCATTGTGTGTGCATGTGTGTGTATGTCTGTTTCCCTGTGCGTGTGGTCAGGGGGCAGGTGTCGGCTGACTCCTCAAGGTCATTTCCAGTAGCCATCCCAGAACACTTCCACTTATGTCACTCATGGTGATGCCTGGACAGGAGGCCTGGAAGATGTGGCTCCAGCTCCCAGCCAGGAGCTCTGCTCTGGAAAAATAGATGATGGCCCACTGAGGCCTCATGGGAGTGTGTAAGGGCTCACCCTGTGTGAGCCTTGCTTTTTTTTTTTAATTTATTTTTTTTAAAGACTATTTTATTTTAATGTAGAAAGGAAGATTAGGGGAAACCTGGAACTCTGTACAGTTTGAGGCAACAGAAAAGAAAAGGGGGGTACTCTAGGATCGAGATGATAGAAGGGTATTCCAATTGCCTTAAAGTTTTTTGAGTAACCATCTTCCTTTCTCCAAGGGGCTCTGTTGGCATGTTGATGTTCTTAGGAGCTGTCATGTCGAGTACTATTCGTAGCACCTTTTGAATGACAGATCTGATCCTTGTCCTAGCATGTACCATCCCTGTGATCCCTGACATACTGGAGTCCCCTGTTATAGTCACTGTGTCAGTCTGTTGTTGTTATGTGCCGTCGAGTCACTTGCGACTCATAGCGACCCTATGTACGACAGCCCTAAACTCTGCTCTGTCCTGTGCCAATCGCACTGTCTCTGACACTCCCATCCCAATTATCCCAGTC